TTTTTTCAATAAATGGATGTTTTCAAATTAAATGGATAATCGTTTTTAATAAAATAATCGAGATTATGATTTTTGCCATAATCGAGCAGCCCTAAGAGCCATGGTATCATACTGAGGCCATGAGTCATAAAATATAAAATAAATGAAATTGCTGCAGCAAATGTGCTTGAAGAAAATCCGAATGTATGATCAACTACTAGAGAAACACTGATATTAGTCACTATTTCACAAAGCTTTGTGCACAACCTATATTCACGAGGATCGGCATACGGCGCCTACGGATACCTAAACTTATTTTTTAGTGATTGGTTATGTTTTTTATGTAGAGATTTTGGTGAAACACAACAGATTCCGACAAAGAACAATGTCTGCTGCCGTGTGGTGGATCTGTCCTGATAGAGAGGCGCCCATTGGGGGTCAAAAGGTCAAAAGGTTGGTCTTCATGGACGTATAGCAGCCAAAGTGAGTCAGGACATTCGCCAGGGCGCAAACACTTAATTCCAAAAAGATCCTGCTTTCATTTAGAAAAATACTTCAAAGTAAGTTCAGAAGCATCTTGATGCTTAAAATGTAAAATGTGCAACTAGGAACCACAGCTAGGGACTTAATGTAAACACAATAATTAATAGTTCTACTTTCCATGTCTTACACTGCTTTTGAACTTGTATTCTTGTATTTCTTAATGGTCTTGTTCTATTTTTTTTTTTTCAGTTTGTATTCTCTTTGCTTTTTAACAAAAAATGTACTTAAAAGTAATTTTATGAAGAATTGTTATGAACTTTTATGCTTTTTTGTAAAGCACTTTGAATGGCTTTGTGTTAAAAATGTGCTCATTAAATGAACTTGTCTTGCAATTACATCTTATCTGTTCATGTAGTGAGTTTGTAAGAGGTGCAGTATTGTCATGTTTGACCGCCAGAAGAACTTTAGCTGATAGTCCCAGAGAGATGTTTTCCCGTTCACCTCTGTAATATTCATCAGCTCTGAATTTTAATGAGTCATTTGACAAAAGAGGTTGATGGGAGCACATTTGCTAGGAATTGTGATCCGACGAAAAACACTTCACAGATGTGTCAGAGCGTCCGTTTCAGGCCAAGTATGTCCCCATGCAAGAAGTGCCGATGTGAACAGAAGTTAACCTGGATGTCAGACTGTCAGAGTGGAAAATCCCTTCTGCAATGTTCCCGTGTCCAATTATCTCCCAGAAAATAATGACATTTACTTGACTCCCCGCGGATGCAGAGAAGTTCCCAAGGAGACAGGCCTGAGAGGAGATTTGAATACTAATGGAAACACAGAAGAAGCACTTCAATAAATCAGCAGAAAGTAAAAGATTTGCTTGTAGAAAGCGCTGTTTCAGAGGTCAGCTGAACCAAAACATGGTCAGCGATAGAGCTATGCTTTGTATATAAAAAAAAGGAAGGTAGAAGACTCTCCGGAGAACTTTCCCCATCTTTTTTGAGCCATGAAGCGTCAAATATTCAGCTTTTTTTCTCCCGTATAATAGAAACTGAACCAGAGAGAGCAAGGAAGGACTACATTGATAGATATTTTAGCTGCTTTGATATTTTCCGAGAGCTTTGCATATCCAGGACAGAACGTTTCTGTGATGCTTGAGTACTGTAAGTCCAAAAGTAAGAATTGAATGAGTGAGGAAAGTTTTCTGAAAGATGTGAGACTTTGAGGTATTCTGTGCTGACTCAGGGAAACGGGAATTAAACTGGAAAACTGACACAAGATATAATGAGGAGGATAAAAGCCAGAGAACATAATTCAATTCTGAGTGTTGGAGGAACTATTCCTGTTCCTTCACTGTTATTATTTATTTCGAGCAAAGATCAAAAGGTTAAATGTGCCTTTTTGGGGGTTATAGATAAAGGTTTTCTACAATGAGACTCAAGTAGTTGCTAGATAAATGGCTTTAGATGTATTTTAAAGTGGACCTATCATGCTGAAAAGTATGTCCATACCTATACAAAACATGTCTGTGAAGTTTTTTTTTCAAAATAAGAAACAGATCACCCATTGTAGCCACATACTACTCAAACCCCTCTTTTGAAGCCCTGATAGAGAAACGTGGATCTTGGGTCCTTAGCTTGAAAAAAATAAAGAAGAGGAGGCGGAGCTAATGCCTGATCAGAATTCTACCGGAGATAAAGTTAAATTTGGGTGTGATAAAACGCCATCCTGTTTAAACCACGTCAAGGATTATTTCTGAAATAGTATGGAGCTCAAATGCTTTTTCTCTTTCAGGTTTATCACAAGGGGAGTTTTTTTATTTCCTGCTTTTTAAACACATGTGCTCTTCAGTACAGGTTAGCTCTGAGTGTTAGCGAGGCTTGCTAATGTAAACAAAGACGTCCAAAACATGTCAGGCATTGTTTCTGATAGCAACTTTCTGTGGGTCCGCCGCCGCTATGACATCACAGCGGATGGACACGTCACAGCGGATGGAAATCTGTATCCGCTCGTTGTACACCCGTTTTTAAAAGATTTGGGTACAGAGGAAAAGAGAGAGGGTTTTATTTTCTGACACTGCGTGAGTTCCCCGACACACCGGGGACACAAATGTATGTATAAAAGACATCACAAAGTGTATTTTGCATGATAGGTCCCCTTTAAACTAGTGGTGTTACAATCAACACCATCCCGGCAGGAACTGTTTCTAGCAGACGCTGAAATAGACCGGACACCAGGCTTATGATAATTGATTCAAAAAAGTGTATTTGTGTGGAAGTAAATTGCAATCCCTAATCTTGCTACGGACCCCCTTCTTCCCCTCGAGTACCCCTGGGGGTCCCCGTATCTCCGGTTGGGAAACACTTCACTAGGACAACTCTATTTTAGGACAGAGAGACCGAAGATATAAGAAATAGGAAATTAAAGTAGGGTAATTACCTCATGTAGCATGTAGCCACGCTCAGTAACAAACTATAAAGCAACAAATCTTTCTGTACTGTATGTGTGTCCTTCACATATCTCGAGAATCGTTCATCTGATCTATTTTACCGTTGAAAGCTGTATTGCTGGGGACACAAGGGAGTGCTGTTTTAAATGTGATGCAAGTCTTAGCAAATCCCTTTTTTACTGGATTCTCTTGGTCCAGACCAATGTGAGTCCAAATGAGTTTTTCAGCTACTCTTTCTACACATTAAAGGAATCATTGGCAAATCTGCAGCGCATCTGTGGACAAAACAAACCTTTGGGATTGTTGATTTTCCATACAGTTTTCCTATGGTCCTCAAAGGGAGCTCAATTGCTGTAGGCAGGGCTTATATTACAAAACTATCATAACTATAGAATGTTTTTCTTCAATTGTGACCACATTTGCTGGACGTGTAGAATAGATAACATACAAATACCAATATATGTGCTGTAAAAGTATTTTCTAACTAAAGGAAGGAATTCCTGTGTTATTGATTTATGTATGACCAATCAATTTCACACCTTCCAATTGTTTTGCTGAAGACTGGTGGAGAGGGCTGTGTGTGATTTTAATCAGAGGGGCAGTTCTCGACAACTAAAACATGCACACAAGTTGGATGAAAATGTAAATTAATTATCAAATGTCATACAATCTATCACAACAGATGTTTGTACACAATTTTTAGGTAAATAAAGTTGCTGTTTGAATTCATATACAGGAAATGGTCTGAGAATGAGTGAAGCCATGTGTGTTCTCTGTTTGGTTTTGTAATTGAGCTCCTCCCTGACAAGCCACCCTCATCCATCATGAAGCTGACACTCGTCTGCTTCTCATTTTGTTCCCCCTTACCACTAATCTCTTTCTGTCTCTTTTGGCCTTTTTTAGGTTGTGTTTGCCGTTTATATTTTTGTGTGTTATTTTGTGCGCTGATATGCATATGTCAGGTTTAGCAATCAGTCTGGCGCCATCATCTCATCAGCATGCAGGGGTATTGCACAGAGCTCGCACACACACACACACACACACACACACACACACACACACACACACACACACACACACACACACACACACACACACACACACACACACACACACACACACACAGAAACAACCTTGAACAATGAAACTTACAGAGTAATTCCTGTGGTTTCAACCTCACGTCCTCAGATATGACCTTTCCACCGTGCCTATGGTTTCTCCTGGAGTCGATTTTTTGTTTTTGAACCGAACCCTAAAGTATCCATGACTGAAAAATAGTTTGAGGCCAGAAAAACTGCTTTATTGAGACCTCTTAGCTCTGATACCTTGGGAGCAATGAAAAGGAGCATGTTTCACCAACAGCACTCAATCCTCTAACCTTATTTCTCTTTTTCTTCTGAGTGTGGCACGTTCAGTACAGCATCCCAGGACCACATGTTACATTTGTACACACAGGGGAGGTGGTTAGGCAAGCTGGATAGATTAAGTGTGGGACAGGAAGGAAGGAAAGACCAGTTTTTGTTTAGCCTAAAGGGCACAGGAAGCATGGCAGTTTCTCCACACAAAGGAAACCACAAACACAACGATTTGGGTGACAATAAATTCCATGATAAAGGAGTTCATTCAAAAAATAAAGCAAAAACAAAACTTTTAATTAACATTTATGTCAAGAACCAAGGGAGGGCAGAGAGATAAGCTTCATTCCCATTGTATAAGAAAATATGGTGGTCTCAGTTCCGATAAGGAATCTATTACATTTTTAATAGATCTATACTCAAATAACTTAGAAAAATGTGAATCTTCATTTTTGTAATGACTATAATTCATATATCTGTTGGTTTGAAGTAATATACTGTCTTTAAACTCTAACACTCAAGCAGACTGCATTTGATATTGGCTGCTTATGCTACAATTCATTTTCTGGATAGGGTTAGTGTTTGCTTACAAGTTAGCAGCTAACGCTAAAATTAACCTCGTCCACAGCTGGCTCCCATTAGCCTGCAACGACACTGAGAGCCTGTACTTCAACTCGTTCTCTCTGTATCTCACACACACACACACACACACACACACACACACACACACACACACACACACACACACACACACACACACACACACACACAAAGTCCAGGCTTAGCGCCAGGGGAGACAATTAACATACACATAAACACAACAGCAGCAGTACCACCACTGCACTGTTCAGTGGATATCACCTTGACAACAACTTCAGACACATCTTCTGAGCTCTTTAAGTTGTTTAAATTTGATCTTGATTAAGAACAAGCAACTTACCAAGAAGCTCAGCAGGGATTTCACCGGTGTGATTGGGATCAACATATTTCAGAGTATGTTTGATGGATAATAGGAGACAACAAAGAGACCACAAATTACCCAGCATGTGTACTGGGACCAATCTCTGGGGCTGTGGAAGTGCCAAAAAACAAAGTTTCTTCAATTGCCATTTAAGGGCTGGCTCCAAAAAGGATCAATCTACGAGTATTTTGTCAAAATACCCCATTTAACAACAATAAACATGCACTAACAAACATCTATTTAACACCATTGAGATGGATCCCTCGTCTGTCGCTATCCACATGGTCTCTTTTATTTTTCCTTGTTTATTGTTAAGTTTCTCTAAACTCTAAATGTGATTGATTTGTCTACAACGTGGAACAAAAATATAGGTAATTCCTCAGTTCTTGACAACTGTAAATCTAATACACTTTTTATTACTCACCTGTTTGTTTGAATTGGAATAAGGCTTAAAGTTAACAAACACATTAACATGAGGTCGAAAGGTCGAAACTCAACATGGGTATTTATAAATTCACATTAGGTTTTTTGTCTCCATTAGGCGGGTGGACATTCATTTTCATTTCATAAAATGAAAGAGGAAAAGAGAGCCAAAGAACAGACAAAGATATATGTGTTTCTTCAAATGCTGTCATGTGTTCAAACAAAGGATGAATCAAGCACACATGACTAAAGCCATGAGCAAAACAGCAAAGACATTTTCAAATCCAATCTCTCTGCTGCAACTCAGACCATATGACCATTGCAAAAGGTGAAGAGCAACAGAGAGATACATGTGTATGCTTATCTTGCACTTGTTCTACCTTTCCCGTCTCTCTCTCGAAGTCAACATACTCCCTCGCAGGAACCTGCCTCTGATCTCCGAGCAGGTTGGCTGCAAAGAACTGTAGAGAGAGGTTTGTACCTGTAGCTACAAAGGCCTGGAGAGGGAGAGAGAAAAAATGGAGAGAAAATAATATCAGTAAAAAGGACAGTAAAGAGCAGTTTCCAGAAAAGCTGCATTAGTGATATATATCCGTTATGGGGCAGAATGATTCAAATATAAACTCACAAACACAGCCCTGATATACTATTTGCTTTTTAAGGTATTTTGGCTGATGTCTTAAAAGTCACTTTCATTACACTATCATTTTAGTTCTGTTTTTGGTGTTTTAGGCTCTCTTCATCTCACGCCTTGACTACTGCAACTCCCTCCTGGCTGTTCTACCTGCAAATGCCACCCGACCTCTACACCTCTACTTTGCTCCCTTCACTGGCTTCACTGGCTGCTTCAAGACACTGCTACTGTGAAGGGATCAGCCCCTTCCTACATCCAGGCCTTAGTTAAACCATACATTTCAACATGTGCACTTCACTCTGCTTCAGCCAATCTGCTTGCTACTCCATCACTGCTAGTGGGACCCAGGTACCCTTCAAAATCCCGCCTGTTTGCTATCCTGGCTCCTAAATGGTGGAATGAGCTCCGCAGGACAGCAGAAACTCTGCATATCTTCCGTTGCAAACTGAAAACCCAACCTTCTTTGAAAAAAGAAAAGAGTTAGCTTAGGCCTTGTAACTAATTCACCAGCATTAGCAATGGTATGACTTGAAGTGAATCTGCTCTTTCCTTGTTGTTCGGAGTTTGAATCTTTATGGTTATTGCACTTATTGGATAGAAGCGTCGGACAAATGAAATGTATCCACCAAAGTCTCGTCAGCTGCTTGGACCGTGAACTTTTAGCTCTTGCTCTTTTATTGTGCTCAGAAACAGATGCTCTGCTTATGGTTGCTGATGAGAGCTTTGAGAGTCAAACACAGTCTATGCACAGTTGGAGAACCGATGGGCGGAAAAGCTGCAGAGTGGGTTGTGATGTATTGGGTTCAGCACTATGAATCACTCTATACTGTACATGAATGTCCAACTCAGTTATATAAGATGGAATACTACGCAGCCATTTTTTGTTTTTTTAGCATTATTTTAAGGGCTAGTTTTCAGTTTAATTAACCTGCTGATTATTTTCTAAATTGTTTAGTTCACAAAATCTTAGTTGATCAAAACTTTTTATTGTTTCAATTATAACCAAATAATTTTCTCTTTTTTAAAATGGCTCGAATTATGCATTTTATATAATAGTTTTTGGGATAAGAAAACGCAAAGAATGAACACATCGCTGAGTATCTTTGCCATCATCTTTTTGTAATATATTTTTCGCCAGGATTAATATTTTAACTTCTACATGCCAGGTTTCCAAATATCTTTGCAGAAATCAGTGGTTGAGTACATTTCAATCTTTTATTCGGGTCTAAGACTAGGAGAGTTAAACATTTTGTAGATCAAATTTGTTATTTCTCTCCTTTCTTTAACCCTTCAATTTTTCCTCTCTCTGCTTGTTCTGACCATGAAATGACCACTTCCTTCTCAAACAGAGTGCAAAAGCACCGTCATGACACACACACACACACACACACACACACACACACACACACACACACACACACACACACACACACACACACACACACACACACACACACACACACACACACACACTACTACTACCTCCTCTACTACTACTACACACCACACACACACACACACAAGCTTTCCTCATTTTTAGATTTCTGTAAAATGGCTTCTTGCTCTAATGGGAGGCATTTCCATTAAGATAAACACACACACACAAACACACACACACTTAGAGAAAAACAAATAAAATGAAAATCAATAGAATGCATTGNGAAGGCAATGAATTACATCGAGGCAGAAAATCAAGTTAGAAATGTCTGTTTTGTATGCGCATCTGTGTGTGTGTGTGTGTGTGTGTGTGTGTGTGTGTGTGTGTGTGTGTGTGTGTGTGTGAGTGTGAGTGTGTGGGTGTGTGTGTGTGTGTGTGTGTGTGTGTGTGTGTGTGTGTGTGTGTGTGTTGTGTTTACTAAGACGGATCAATACTAATGACATTAGGGCTGCGACTAAGCTGGAAGCATATGAATTATGCACCCTGTCAAATCTGTGAGAGAACAAGAGAAAAGTGAATGAAAGAGAATAAGGACAAAACAATGGAGAGTGGAAGAACGGGAAATAAAGGAGGAAAAAGCTTGACAATGTGTGTACATGGACACACACAAGGAGAAAAGTCGCTCACACATACACACTCACTCACGGAAACAAGAGCTCAAAGAACACCGAGTCATCATTTTGTGCTGTATTTGAAGTATTGGATTACAACCATCTGATACTCATTTGCTGCCTACTACTGCTGGGAGGGGGAAAAAAGAGGGAAAGAGCGGCAGAGACACGAGAGAGATGGAGGGAAACTGACAGACAAAGGAGGATAAAGCATGGGGGAGAAATGAAGGAAATTAGAAATAGGGACAGAAATGGAGGAAAAAAGGCTGACCGTGGTAAAAGCAGCAGATTGTGAAGAAAGTGAAAACAAGAGAGAGAGAGAGAGAGGGAGAGAGAGAGAGAGAAAAAAAAACTTTGAGGTATGGAATTGAGACAAAGAATAAGGGGGCAAGGGGAAAAAGGTAGTGAACAGAGAAAGAGGGAGATGGTATAAGAGAGGAGGGGGGAGACCAGGGCAGCATGGGAATCAATAGTAGTAGGAAAGGAACTAATCTCTAATGACGTGAAGATAATTGACTTTGAATTATTGTTCCATTTATCAGATCAATCTTGAACAGTTAGAGTCATCCTTACAGCTACGTTTGTGTGTCTGTGTGTGGTGTGTGTGTGCATGCATGTGTGTGTGTGCATGCGTGTGCATGTGCATGTGCGTGTGTGTGTGCATGCACGTTTGTGTGCGAACATTGGGGAGATTCCTAATAATAAAAAGCTCAGCTAACATGACAGGTATATGGTAAGAAATAAGGCAAAAAAAAGCTTTATTTTTTACAATATTGTATCACTATATTTTAAAACATTCAGAATGCAGAGTTATTGTTTATTTTAGCCAAAAAAATCCCTCAGTCAATAATAAAAACGCTGTAGAGAAAACCATGAAATGTAAAATCATTTAAATTGTAATAACTTATTACTACTTCCATTTAAAATTATGTCCATTCTCAGTGCATGTGCACGAGAGACTCTCCATATCATGTGTATAAAGTCCCTTTTGAAACATGGCTTCCAGACTATTTGTGATGTCATGACATACACATCTTTAATTGACCTAAGGCCGCTGTAAAATTGTCGAACAGGTTAGATATCTATCCAAACAACGGACCAGACTGGTATACAGAATTGTACCACAAGGTGTCCCACTTCATTCAATGGCGCGTCGACCAAAAATTGGTGGAGCGGCGTGTCGCTAAAATAAGAATAGATGGTCGAGCTTTATGGTCAGTCCACCTTAAGCGAGCCAGGCTGTGGTCGCTAGCTTCAGGGCTAACCACCTTCACTATTAACAGCAGGTGGAAACCAAAGTACAGGAGTTTAGCTTAGGTCATGAGTAGCTGAAGCATTTATTAACCATCAAATGTACAGACGGGCCACCAGGCTGTCACCAAATGCTGTCTTGCCTCATCACTCCAAAAAGTATATGAACTCTCTAGTACACGATGTCTTCCTCTCTCCCAACTCTAATGAAATGTGACCACCGTCATGTTGCCGGCCTCGGCTTGGCAGAAAAAATCAGGCCAACGCCTGGCCTGTCAGACACTAGCGCCTTTGCTAGTTTGTTAATAGACAAACATTATATATTTGTAATCATCTTTTCATATTGCATTTTGCTACTGCAATACACGTTGCATTAAAGCACTATGACACTTTCGGCATGTTGTCAATGTAGGATACTTTTTTATTTGCCAAAACGTGTCATAATGAAAACTGCGGGGTCAGCTGTTTGCATAAAATTAAACTGTTAGAGCTAATAGCGGACCTGGCATGCAAAAGAGGAAACCCCCAACTTTAGGTTTACTCTGAGAAAACGTTCCCTCTTTAAACCTCTAGAACAGTGGTTCTCAAACTTTTTCTGTGATTCCCCACTTTGAACAGGTGGGCCTTTTCAAGCCCCACCTGTTCCTCATCGCTCCAATAAAATCGTAGGCCAAGCTTAAAATTGTCAAATGTATCGTTCTATAACAGGGGTCTCCAACCTTTTTTAGGATGAGAGCTACTTTCAAAAAATAAAACAAGTCGTGAGCTACTTTTACTCCTGTTTTTTTGTACCGTATATATTTAGCACATTTGAACATTATTATATGCTTACCTTTAACCTTTGTGTGCTGTTTGGGTCTGTGGGACCCGTTTTCAATGTTTACTAAAAGAAAATGTATGCAATTTAATTATTTTAACCTGCTTCATTTGGGGGTGGACCTCACATCCTCTAGGGGGGTCCGGTGGCATGCAGCCCCAGGAAGATTTCTTTTTTAATGTTGAAGTGAAATGCCTCAATCTGGTGCACTTTGAGCAAAAAATGAATTTATGGATACAGCTCTCAACACACTGAAAGGGAGCTGTATACTTTTCAATAACCCAAATATCTTTAGAATATGATCAAAACCAATAACAAATCATTCAAACTTGTTTATTCTTATCTTATGTTACCTATAGTTAGCATTCTTTCTTTTTACTAATCACTCCCCTTTTAAACCTTTTTTTTTTTTTTTACTGTCCTATAGCACACATTGGAATGATTTCTTAATTTATGTTTTACACCTAGGCTATATTAAATAGATAAATGTGTGCTCTCTCTAGCTCTCTCGCTCTCTCTCTCTGTCTCGCTTGCTCACAGAGGCTGTGTGCTCCTCCGTGGCGATGACGGCTTGCGTTAAAAATTATAATAAACATAGGCCTATTTGTAAAGTGGGGGGACACAAACGGGATTTCGAAAAGTGTCACGGTTAAACTCCTTGTGAAGTGGTGAGGTGCCGCTCCACATTGCTTTTCTTCCCGACTGCAACGCTGTAAATGATTTTGGTTTCAGTTGTGTGTGTGTGTGTGAGCAGGCTCGGATTGGCCATCGGGAGATTCGGGACTTTTCCCGGTGGGCCGCTGCCTTTGGTGGGACGCTGGCTCTGACATAGGTGGGCCGTGGACTTTGACAGCGCCGCTGCGCCGGTACCGGCCCGTCGGTACTGCACCCGCCGCCGCAAACACCCGCCGTTGCGAGGCTCCTGCGGATCCGGCGCTGTGAAAGTCCACCGCCGTTGCGAGTCTCCGGCTGTAACAGTCCACTAACGCCCGCAAGGAAAAAAAATTAATATATATATATTTTTTTAAATACTCCCGTTCATCGCGTCTATTCGTGACCCACCTATCACATCTCTGCGACCCACCAGTGGGGCGCGCCCCACACTTTGAGAAACGCTGCTCTAGAAGCTGATTGTCAAAACGGTCTTTAAGTGTCAAAGTCTGCATATGCATCCATGTGAAGAAACAACAAACAAAACACTGTATTGACTGAGGAAGGATGTTAAATATTAACAATTCAGTATTATACTAAATGGTGCCCATTTTTGTACAGTTTTTTGTTTTCTGCTGGTGCTGTCAAAGACAGCACGTTCAGGTCTCATTGTGCCGGGTAGTCGTTCACACTGACCATGAAAATAGCAGGCGTCTGGCCGATAGATAAATCAGCAACATGATTTCACAGCTGCCGTCAAACCGTTTAAACCAGGCCCATCAATTTTCACAGAAGAGGCTTATAATACAGTGAGGACAGACAGACGGACGGACGCATCATGTCCCACTAAAATATGGTAAATCTAGATGTCTCCCCCCCCCCCTCCTCCTGGGATGATGACAGCATGTTTGGGAAAATACCTCGAGGATGACTAAGACAGTAGAAGTCGCCCCCATGTTTTTGTCGTTAGCCTGAAGGCTCTACGCTTCACTTCAATAGAAAGATCTTAGCAGGCCAAACAGAGTAATTAAATAATGTGATTGTAAACATGTCCCATCTTGCTCTTAAGTTATAAACTGCACATCAAAATGCTACACACTGATTTTTGAAGAAGACAAAAAAGGTCACATGGGTTCACTTGTGGAGGAAATAAAGCTCACCACAGCAGAGAAGTGGAGACAGAAAAAGACATGCAGACGTGTTGAAGTCGACATTTATCTCCTGGTAGAACTTACTCTGCAAATGAATGATGATCTTGTAAAATATGATGCATTGTTATACAGTAAACAATCTATAAATGATGCTAACGTGTGCATGAGTATTAATAAACCAGAAGTACAATATAAAAAATAAAAGCAATTCTGACAGAGACCATTTTGCCTGCATAACCGACTGCGTATTGTTTTATTTATTTTTTTGATAGATTTTGAAAACATGACTTTAACTTGTAAGGAATCATATTTTAAACAGTAGTTTTCACATTGGATAAAATAGCTCACATCAGCTCATTTGCTTTTGAAAGCTTTAAATTGAAAATGTGATCCGAGACTAATCGAAGACGCGGCTAGAGAAGTGTGGTCTGGAAATGGAGGGAGACACTTTGCCACAAACTATCTCTCACTGCAACAACTATGTGATGGCTGCCCCTCATGTATGAAAACAAAGAGAAACACTGCAGATTTCTAATCCAACACTACACCACATCTAGCGACAAATCTTCGACCAAAATCACAGCAAAAACAGCTTGAGTCCAAACAAAGATAGGACTATGACTAATTATTATTTTCAATATTGATTAATCTGCAATTATTTCAATCAATAAAAGTGAAAAAGATGCCTGTCACACCTTCAAACCTGATGTGACATCTTATTTAGTTTTTTTTTTTTAAACTAACAGCTCAAATAAATTCAGTTTACAATCACATTACACAAAGAAAAGCAGCTTATCTTCGCAATTGAGAAGCTGAAACATGATATCTATGCATGAATAGGATCAATTTATAATCAAAAATATTTGCAACTTGATTCAGTGTTTCAGCTCCAAACAAAAATCACGCATTTAAGGGATAGCAGTATTTATAGGGCTAAATTGCATTTGTAAGCATCAGAAAGTTGTTGTCTTGTATCTCCCTGTTCACTAACTGCCTATCGCAAATTAGACATGACAGGTAATGTTTATGTTACGGTGCACAATTTTAGGCACAAAATTACAGCCCTAAGAGTGTTGTAAACCATAAAGTGCCTGTTTGTTAACATGTGCTAATGTGTGCTGAGGCGATGATGGCAGCCGCATAACGTAGAGGAAAGACACACACACACACACACACACACACACACACACACACACACACACACACACACACACACAGAGTGTACAATGTATACTGTACACTGCTGCACATAGTGTTCCCATAATAAGAGTTAATGTGTATTTTACATTGGGGACCGCCAGATTCATAATGTCTGTTGGAGATGGTTATTTCATTTCATGAGTTGTGCCAGTGTGTTTTTACTTTATGTAATTTTCCGATTGTTTTCAAAGAGTATACAAAAAAAAGATACATTTAGTTTTCTACTCACTATTTCTGATCGTCCATCCCTGCTAGCGTTCTGGAAGCGAGCTTGTCTCTCCTCATGGGGCCGGTCCCTGAACCCAGTGTATTTAATCTACAAAGAGAAGAGAAAAAAAACCATAAACACAACAAATACATTTATTTTTAGTCTACTTCAGGTGTTTGATTTTGGCTAGAAAACACTCCAAATAGATAGGGGATATTTGGCCTTGAATGACGATGCTCATTGCCATCAGTAGGCTGCAGTTTACAGATAAGCCACAGGAATTTTTGATTTAAGGCAAAAGGCACCATTCTTTGTCTCTACTCTTCTTTAAAAATATCTGTCCAATTGTATGATTAGAGGATTTAAAAATGTTTTGCTTTATTATTTTTTGAGTATATATAGGCTACACAATGAAAGAGTATAAGATTAATAAGAGAAAAAAGTCAAACAGAAATCTACTTCATAATGTCAGATCGAGACTTATTGCACATTTGAATTAAACAATTCTGCTTTTGGGATTTCAACTTCAACTGTAGATGTTGTAGCACTGAAGCAATGAATTGAAATATATATATAAAACATCAAATAAGTCAACAAGCCTCTTCTTCTAGGTCTGTATTTCCGCCGTCTAACAGAATGGACCCAGTGTAAGAGGAATTACTCACCTCACATTCCCTGCTCAACTTGCGGAAAAACTCCTCATTCTCAAACTTGCTCCTCTGGTCCGGGACTACCCGCGGCATCTTCACCAACACTTTCTCTTCAGTTTCAGTCAAATCTCTTTTTATTATCCCGCACAGTAAAACTTCAGCTGCTCGTCTTGCCGTCCGTCCCTCATTCACTTCTCTTCCGTGTTTTTTTGTTCCTTGTCTGTGCAGCAATGTGCTCTCTTACTGCTACTGCTCTTATGATGGTCTGGGTCGTTCTGCGGCTCCTGAGCGCTCCGGGGTCGCCTCTGGCTCCAAGTGGCTCTTCCTGAGTGACCCAGCGCGAGAGACAAAGCTCAGTTTCACCGTGTGGCTCTGTCTCCTCTGTCTCCCTCTCTTTCACTCTTCCTCTATGTCTCTCAACCTCTCTCTCTTTCTTCACGAGCGTGTGATCTCAAGTGGCAACGACGCTCTCTCTCTCTCTCTCTCTCTCTCTCTCTCTCTCTCTCTCTCTCTCTCTCTCTTCTCTCTCTCTCCTCTCATCTCTCCTCTCTCTCTCTCTCTCTCTCTCCTCATACCTGCAACTTTCAAGTGCCCTCTCCACCTTGGGCCTGTCGATTATTTACGCAATCAATCAAATTGTGACACTAATAGGCCTAATGCATGAATACATATAGTCCATAAAGTGACGTATTACATTAAACAAACGGCACAGATATGTTTGTTCTTTGTTGGCAGCTTTTAT